AGAGAGAGAGAGAGAGAGAGAGAGAGAGAGAGAGAGAGAGAGAGAGAGAGAGAGAGAGAGAGGGAGAGAAGAGAGTCACCTACCGTAGACGAGGATGCTGGTATTGGGTTGCTGAACTCTGCGCTGTTGAAGCGCTTGGTGATTGGAACTCCGAAATTGTTTAATATGATAATTCGTTGGAATTTCTAAGCTGCGCATATCTGGACTTTGCATCTTTGGACTCCGGTGTGGATTTCGTGTGATCTCTCAATGTGTGTGTGTGCTCAAGGTGTCGAGCAGTGAGGCTCAATGCAATTGGTATTGGAACTGGTACTCGCTGTATCCGATGATGTTGATGCTGGCAAGATGAGATTTGGAGTCTGACATAGGGGCTGTAGGCCGAAGAGGAGTGGCCAAGTTGGGGGAAGGTGATCATGTACCTGCGTGCGAGGAGCGTCGAGGAGCTTCATCGAGAGAACGTTTACAAGTGAAGTGCATCGTCCCCCTAAGCACTGCATTTGCTTTTGATGAATGAATGAGTGTCATAGTACCTTCCCACATCTTGGTGTCACTGCTGTTTGGACAAGAACACCTGGTGTCATATTTGATTTTGTCTTGAGTCAGCATATGGTCAGACATATGTGCATGAAGTAGGTCTTGTCTAGGTTAGAAGCTCGACAGCTGGATGTATCACCCATAAAGTAGGGAGCATGGGCATGAGCGGCGAGCGCTCGTAAAACAATTTGTCTAGCCCTAAGACCGGTACTGACCAACATGCGACTGAACCGATGTTGACGTAGTGAGGAGTTGTAAGTCTTGAGAGCGAACCTTCAGATCCTGGTGGGCACAACGTCCTGTCTGCGTCGTTAAATAATTCATGAGGTCCTTGTTGGCTGACCTTAAGTTGCTGGTTGCCCACCAGCCTGACAGGGTATCTGTAGTGACACTGTGGGAGGAGAAAAACTCAGGTCAAACTCCAATCTAGATTAGGTAGTTTGAGTGTTGAGGGTGAGGTCGACGTGGTGAGGAGGTGGAGGCTACATACATATGCCTTTAGTAACCATGGATGACTACCCGATGTTCGCTATGTTGACCCTATCCGTGTTATAGGGTCCCCTTCTCCGATTTTTGTTCCCCCTAGGATTCCCCCGGCATGCGGTATGAGTGTAACCATGAGGTCTGGTGGGACCACACAGCCATATACAGCAGATCAGCAGGCAGAAATTGATTGGAAGCTGGTTGAGAAGAAGAAAGAGAAGGAGGATAAAAAGAGAAAGAAGGAGGAAGTTAAAAATAAATTGGAGGAGGAGAAATAAAAGATGGAGAACGAGATGAAGAAGAGAGAAGAAGAATTGAAAAAGGAGTTAGAAGTTCAAGAAGAAGAAGAAGAAGAAGAAGAAGAAGAAGAAGAAGGAGGAGGAGGATTGGTGAGAAGACAAGTCCAACCAGAAGGAGAGGAGGTGGCGGAGAGCAGTCATGCTGCAAAGTTGAGACTCCAACATGCTGCAAAGTTGGGTACCGGACTGAGCTTCCGGAAGAAACTGATGAAAAGAGAGATCGATTTGTGGCAAAGTTGGCAGCAACTAAGGATCAGGAGGAAAGGAAACTGCTGATTGAGGAGAAGAAGAGTGAACTCAACCAAAAGTTGCTCGCCGCGAAAAGAAAAGAATTTGAGGAGAAGAAAAGGCTGAAGGAGGAAGGGGAGAGACTCTAGGCGTTGCTGAAGGAGCAGAAAGGGAAGGAAGTAGAAACTGAGGAACGCTGGAACCTTCTGACCGACACTTTGTTGTATACCACCGAGGAATTCTCTGCACTTCAACGAGCCGTTGGAAAGGTAGAACAACACCAGGAGGAGTTTAAGGGCATCAGGAACAACTACCTTAGTGCATCATCCAACCAAGTGGATCATAGGGTCCTACAATATGCACGCCAATTAGACGATATCTTCACTCGGAAACTGACTAATACCATCGTTGCAGTTAAGATAGGTGGCAGTGGCGGGGGTGGAGATGGTGGAGACGATGGGGATGATGACAAGAAAGGAAAGGGACCCAGAAAGGATGGAGAAAAGAGGAGGAAGAAGAAGAAGGACGAGGAGAGTGAAGAAGGAGCGTACCTTGACTATGTTGGGCTGCATCTTCACGTTATTGGTTGGCGCTGCACCGGGAAGGCTCCAAGTGGGGTGATACCTTGAAGGAAGAGTCCAGGGGTGGAGGTAGGCACGGCGGCCATAGTGGGAGGGACATAGTAACTTTGAATTGTCTTTTGAACATTGGAGCCTAGCTTCCGATGGTCCGCCATAGCCACCAACTAGGTGCAAATGCCCAAGGCTCATACCACGTATCGGAGGATCATACACATTGTAGAGGAAGTGGGGAAGATGATAAACCTTAGAATCCATCCCTTATATTGTGCAATATCGAACTGTTGCCCGCAATTGCTGCCAAGCAGATGTTATCAAGTGTGATCCCACCAGTTGCATCTGGTACGCATTTGAAAGGAAAAGGGGGAGGGAAGGGTGTTGCTTACGAGTTGATGTGTTAAGTCTTGAAGATGATTGGTTTTATGACCCCTACACCTTAGCAGATTGACCACTTTATACCCTTGAGAAAAGTGGTCAAATTTACTCACACCAAGCCCGCAATCCTTCCAGATCGTCCTTCCAAACACCCGACAAGAATAGCAGTAAGTCTGAGAAACTGTCACAGCCCTAAAACCCACTCTACACACCCACTCATGGATGCAAGCCCCGCGCGCGCGAGAGATAGATAGATAGATAGATAGATAGATAGATAGATAGAGAGAGAGAGAGAGAGATAGATAGAGGGAGAGAGAGAGAGAGAGAGAGAGAGAGAGAGAGAGAGAGAGAGAGAGAGAGAGAGAGAGAGA